TTTAGCAGTATTCAGCAGAGTGAAATTTACTCGTGTGTTACTGACTGTGCTTATAGCCTTTACCAAGAAAGAGGTAAGGGAATTTACTGTCATATGTATTTACATCGTACTTTAATGGCTTTTTGTAGAATGTCTTATTAAAGCAGTTCTGAGATTTTTCTGTTCACATGCTCCTGATAGCAGCTTTGTAGCACATGCTTACATTTGATATATTTAGGTCAGAGTAACCATAAGGACTTTCTGAAAGGGTTACGTGAATTTTACATTGTATTCCAGAACCTGGTTCTCTTGATGTAAAAATAATGTTTCATATTAGTTATTAATAAATGGTATAAATTATAAGCAGGATTGAAAAGAGAAGTTAAAAATGGAAATTTTAGGGAGGCCTATTCTTCCTTTCAGTTAAATATTGTTAGTTTTGCAGAGGACCAAAAGCAGGCCCTTGGTGGTCAGTATTTTTTCTTTTGTGTCATTTCAACACAGTCAGTTACAGATTAATTTGTGAATAAGTGGCGAGTAAAGATACAGCCTTTATTATAGCTCTGATTTGTATAATTTTTCCTTCATTTTGACAAATATTGTGGAATTGTTGAAATTTTCTTTCCATTTTTCAGCTGACACTGTCTCTGGACTTTACTTTTAAAAATAGTATTAATGCAGTAAATCAGATTTCAGATACTTTTAGTGGATCCCATAGTACATTGATGTGAAGGAAAAAACATTTCTTTTTATCCTAACAGGTTCTGTCCATCCTGTATTAACTAATTTGTGAAAACCAGTGTCATTACAGCAAGCATTTAATTTCATTATTGTTTATAGGATTTTCCTATTTAATGTATATCTTTCAGTGAAAGAATATGTAAGAATGTTTTTGGTGATTTATTTGCTAGACCAGCGCTGTCGCAGAAGCTCAAAAATTGATGGTTCAAGCAGCAGATCTTCTTTCTGCCATTCATATTTCATTGCATCATGGCATCCAGGCCCAGAATGACACTACAAAAGGAGGTAATTGTCCATTTTGCACTTACTGTTGTTTTTATATTCTTTGTCATCCAGAATATGCATTTGTTTTATCTAAAAATTTTTTCAGGTCATTTTCCCTGGACCTTGGAATATTTACTCCTAAGACATAGAGAATATTTTAGATTCTCCTTTATAAATTTTTTAGACTGATGACAACATTGTGGAACTTGGCCATGTTTTCTGTCTTCTTAAACAGCAAATATCCCTGTCCTTAATATGTTCTCTGCATAATTCCTGCTGTGATGTCAGTATTACTTTTTTATTCTTTTACCTAAAAACTGATCGATCAACTTCATCATATAGTCTATACTAACCACTAGGCAGGCCCAGCATTTCATCTGTGGTTTCATTGCATTAGTCCATTCCTCTAATGTTGACTATAATTGTTGATCGTGTGTGTGTGTGTGTGTGTGTGTGTGTGTGTGTGTGTGTGAAATTTGAATTCCTTCAGGGGTGGGAGACTGTCTCTTCAGCACGTAGCATGTCATTGGCACTCAAATTGGATTCATGCAGAGTACCTTAGGCTGTTGTGGCTTTTCTCACCATAGCCAGTTCTGTATCCTCCAGGGTGTACTTCTGTCTTGGCTTTTCCTCTTTTACTGAGCTTAAATTTGCTCTGCAGAGTTAGTTTTTTCCTCATTCTTCACTTTTACTGTTTCAAATAAACTCTTTTACTTGTTCCCTCCTGCCCCCCAAAAGTACATTTTACTGCTTTTTTTTTTTTTTTGCGGAACCGGGGATTGAACTCAGGCCCTTGTGCTTGCCAGGGAAGTGCTTATTCCACTGAGCCATCTCCCTGGCCCCAAAAAGTACATTAAAAAAAAAGAATATCTGTGTAAAATTTGTGACTGGGTTAACCTTTCAGACAATGTGCAGCAATTTAATCATTTTCAGAACTCATTTTAGTTGGTATTTAAATTCTGTGTATTAATATTTCCCAGTGGTTGATCTTGTGATTGGGAAGGCAAGATCTTACTGATTCCCAGACATTTTTTTTTCAGTTATTCCTCATCCCTTTGGGGACAAGAATTGTGATATTCTTAGGAACTTTTCTTTACACAAATGTTAGATAAAAACAGTTGGGTTAGGTAATTAGTATTCTCACAGTCTTATGTCTCTAGTAATTATGTTGAACTTATATAAATTGATTAACATTTTCCTTTTTTTCACAGAGGGAAGTATGTATATGAGATTAGTAACGAGAAGGAGTTTTATAACTAAGGGATTTTTTTTTAAAGTTAATATATAACCTTGGTACAGTGTACAGAGTTATAACTCTTAAACACTTTGAAATCTAGTACAAGAATGCTTTTATGAAAGCCAGTGTATAATACATAACTTCAAAGTAACCACTTAGTTTGTGTAATAGTAATGTTAATGATACAAAGCAGGAGCCTTCCAGGTTACTGGAGTGTGATGTTCTTTTTCACTGTCTGTCACTTCCTGGGAGCTGTTCTCTCTCTCTCTCTCTCTCTCTCTCTCTCTCTCTCTTTCTTTTTTTTTTTTTTTGTGGCAGAACCGGGGAATTGAACTCAGGCCCTTGCACTTGCCAGGGAAGCGCTTATTCCACTGAGCCATCTCCCCGGCCCCAGGGAGCTGTTCTCCATATCTACAGTCAAGCAAACTCTTAAGGATAATTACTGTAGGATCCTTAGTAGCTACATCTTAGGACTTCTCTGTATTTCAGATAAGTAAGATTCAGGAGAATTGTTTATATAAAATCAATTTGATGCACATTTTTATAAAGTGTAATCTTAAAACTAAGCTAGTGAAAATTTAAATTTAAAATGTATCAATCCCCATGGTTGGTTTTCAATATAGTACCTTTTAACTTGCTTAATTTAACATTATAATTTTCCTACATAAGCCATAGAAGTTGTATAATAACAAAGTTAATGTTTTTCTAATGTCCTTAAAAGAATGGTGAAAAAACAAGTGTAGATTAGTTTTGGTCTTAGCATATTCATTTTACCTTCTAATCTTTGTAATTTCAGCTAGTGACAAACTAGCTAACTTAGAAGTATTAGGCCTTCACTTAGCTTCTCATTGAAAAAGTATATATTGAGTAGGACTTTTAAACTGGAATTAAGGGAGAAAATTGGAAGAATAAAACATGGTCTAAAGATGACTTGCTGGTGGGTTTACTCCATGCATGTTAATATCTTAAGATGCACAAGGTACAAGAGGTATTGAAGAATGCATCTTAAGATGCAAAAGGCAGAATGAGGTATTCATCATTTAGATGATGAATGATATTGTTTGCTGTGGTGCCATGGAGCAGTCCACTAGGATAGTAAATATCTGGCTCTGCAAAATGGATAGAAAAACACATTTTGAAGTCATATTCATATTAAATACATGTTAAAACTAGCAAGAAGATTGTAATTACTCAGGACTTTGATAATTCAGAAATTTGGATTATATACTGTATATGTATTGAAAGAACAAAGAAAAAAAGACCCAAAGAAGTAGATAGTGGTCTTTGTCTTTGTATATGTTGTCTTGAATTTTTTAAAATATATGTTGGTAGAATTCAGTCCTTTCAAATGACATTAAAATGGTCTCCTCCAGTAAGACTGGTTCTACCAGTTAAAATGTGTTTCTTTCTCATGTGGCTCTATAGTCATCTTTGGCTAGGTCTTACCTTTTAGATAATGAGCACCCTTAACAGTTTTTTTTTTGGGTGTGTGTGTGTGTGTGTGTGTGTGTGGCCAGCTCAGCCCACCAGGGGGCGGGGGCTGGCTGGCATGTGGTGCTGGGGGATTGAACCGCGGTCCCTGTGCTTTGCTAAGCTTGTTCTAAGTAGGTGCTTTAGACCACTGAGCCATCTCACCAGCCCCCCCTTAACAGTTGCTAGTGCAAATAGGTTTAAATTTATCTTGCCTTAAATTTTATTTTTTTTATTTTTTTTTTGGCAGAACCGGGGATTGAACTCAGATCCTTGCGTTTGCCAGTCAAGCGCTTATCCTAGCCCCTATCTTGCCTTAAATTGGTAGGTGCTTTTGAAATATAGTTTCAAATCTGACATGTCTTCAAAGGAGTGTATCGTTTTTGAGAGTTGTATGGCCATTGCACTGAGCTGCATCCATAGCCTTTTTATTTTTATTTTTTAAATTTTTTTTCTATACCAGGGATTGAACTCAGAACCCTACACTTGCCAGGAAAGCACTTATTCTACTGAGCTATCTTCTTGGGCCCAGCCTTTTTGTTTTTTAAGGCAGGGTCTCTCTAAGTTGTCAGGCTGGACTTGAATCTGCAATTCTCCTGCCTCAGCCTTCCGGAGTGCTGGCATTATAGGCATGCACTATTATGCCTGGCTAAGAGAGCTTACCATCTTTAAAATAAATTAAAAGATACCTGATTAAAAGTAATAAATTAGCAGCATTGTTAGCGTGGTTTAGTGAAAAAAAAAGTTTGTAGATTAAAAGGCGTTACATTTATCTTTTAAAACCCCAAAGAAACTATGAAGAAAAAAAATTTTTTTTTCTGTATATAGACAAAAGGAGAAGTATAAGGGAAGAGAGATAATAGAAACAAAGTGTCAGAAACTGGGAAAGAGAAAGACTTAACCTGTTTGCAAATAACTGTATCTTGACCCACTGATTCTGGACTAAATAGATATGAGACATGGTTGAAGGATGCATATTAAAGGGGAGTAAACTGAGAATTCACTTACTAAAACACATCCCCCCAATCCCCATCTTCCAAAACAAGGAAGGCCAGGCTCATGAACTCCACATAAGAATGTGAAAGATTTTTCATAGGGAAGTCTTGAAAGCCTTTGAGGTAGAAAAATCAGCAAAATGTAAATGTATTCATAATAAGCAGTTCTGTAATAAAATGGCTTCGGTTGAAAGTGTGGCCTTTATTCATAAAGTTCTTAGGAGAGAATTTTTACCCTGCATTTTCTTTTCTTTTTTTTTTTACCCTGCATTTTCAAATGTAAGTGTATGGTCAAGAGTGGAAGCATCTAACATGAACATTCAGCACATGCAAGTACACAAAATATCGTCAAAGAAATACAAGCATGCATATGTAAAGCAAGAGTAGATGTGGGAGGAGGGATATATTCTTTGAGATTCAAAATGTAAGTGCAGGGACCCACAGATTAGCTCAGTTGCTTAAGCGCCTCCTTGGGCAAAAGCAGTCAGGCCCAAGGGACTGCGGTTTGTTCCCCAGCTCCACTTGCCTCACCAGACTTGCTCTTAAGGGAGCCTGAGCCAGACCCCCTGCAAAAAAAAAAGTCCTTCTCAAAATGTAAGTGCAGAAATGGCGAATTTAGACCAGAAATAAAATAGAGCTAATGATAAATAAGGTGAAAAATAATATACATTTAGCCCAGGTCTGCTGCCTTATAAAAATACATTAGTAAGGGAAAAGATGAAACTAATGTATGTTGTTCCAGAAATAGAAATTAGACAAAGATCAGAAAACTTCTTTGAATCAAATCAATACAAATACTCAAAATGAAAGAGGCAGCAACCTGTGGGTATAAAAGAGTGCTTTTCTAAGTATGCACAAGGCCCTGGGTTCAGCCCCCAGAATGGCTAAATATATGTTGGTAAAGGAGTTTTATAGAAAGGAAAGAGAAAACCAATGAAGAGTCACTGATACGAAGAAGAAAAATAGTTCTAAATTTTATTTATAGTTTTTTCAGTTTTAATTTTTGTGATATGAGGCATTGAACCTTGGGCCTTATATACGCATGCCAAGGCAAATACAGTGCCACTAAACTACATTCCCCAGCCCTGAAAACTGACGTTTCATAAAGACGTATCATCATGAAAGTTTTAAATAGTAATAAATAGGAGATGTCAAGCGATTTTGAAAACAAATTTACTTCCATAAGCTCGAGAAAGTGTCAATTCTCAGCAACAGAAATCATGAAAACTTAACACAGTTGCATGGGTCACACTTCTAAGTAAAAGCTTATTTAAAGCCTAACAATCCAAGGTAGTGTAGTTCTGGACAGACAGATAGGG